CACTTACCAACAGACAAAAGCGAATGGAATAACAAGACAAGAAAAACAGCTAAGTAACATGTTTTGGGATGACAGAACATGGCCTTTCAGTTTTTGTTTTTCTTTCTCACTGTAGTCTTTCCTTTGTGTTCATGGCTACTTTTCATTTAGCTGTTCATGATGTGTGTTGATCCACTGACTTTTTTTTCTTATGTTCAACCCATGTGTTTATTCTGTTAATTCTACAGGAAAGAGAAGTGTGATGTGTGTGATATTTATGTGGTGTGTGTGTCTGTGTGTGTGTGTAGGGTCACTATTGGGGATGGAAGAAGGTTATTGCAAAACACATGAAATGAATCATCAATGTTATGCTGGTTAATGTTTAACAATCAACATTTTAGGAAAATTAGAGACAATTAGAGAAAAATCCCTTATTCAGAATGTTTTGATTTGTGTGGTGTGAATTCTTGAATGTCTTTCTGCTTCTATGTATTAACTAATGTCTCAAAATGCTTACTGTTGCAAGGCTGCTCTGAAGGCTGCTCTTCTGCCTCCCTCTGAGTGCTCCACATCCGAAGTGATCTCAACAGTTGCTTCCTGTGGCAGAGGGAACCGAACAGCATCACTTTCCTTCTCTACCATGCTGGGTTACTATCCCCCTTCTCTGTAGCTCATGGGGTTTATTATAATTCCCCAGCTCACATTGCATCCCTGTCTTTTCCTCATCTGTTCTTTCTTTCCACTCTGATTAGAAGCCATGTCTACATCTGAAAAGACTAGAGCAACTCCAGGATCATAGAGAGGAGACACTACATATCCTTTGAGAAAACTGGTCTTACATTGACCAGTTTTCCCTTCAGACCATTATGTCCACTTCCCTGATCATATGTCTTTCCAGCTTCCTCTCTTTCTAGAGTTTTCCATTCCTTGTGTAACCTAGCTCCAAACTACATGTTTGTTTCCATTAAAGGACATACTCTTACCTTTGCTAATCTCAGCAACATACACAGAGAAGAAGACTACACTGATTTGTTTCTCTTTGTGTGTATGTGTGTACATGTGTGCACTTGTGTGCCTTATGTATATTACTTGTGGAAGCCAGAGATTGATGGTAGGTATTCTTCTCAACTGAGCTCCACCTACTTGGGAGGATTGGTGTCTTTCACTGACCTTGGAGCTCATCTATTTGGTGAAACTGGCTAACCAATATGTCCTAGGAATCCTTCTGTTTCCCTATCTATGCATTATTAGAAGTACAAGCATGTGCCATCATGCCTTTTTAAAAAATATGGGTGCTGGGAACTTATGTTCTGATTCTGTGTGTTAAACACTTTACTCAGAGTACCGTCTCTCTGCCACTGTCACTCCTTGTTCTGGAGTCCTTTTGGTTCATCTGAGTTCAAGGGCATTGTCTTACACTTGCATGCTGTACAATCACTTAGGTTTCACCTCACTAGCAAGGGATGATAGCCTGGTCTCCCGAATAACCCAGTCTACCTTGAACTCCTGAAGCACAGCCGTTTTGTGCAGGTTCATGCATGTCACTACATAGTCCATGTATTTTTTTCTTTCATACACAGACTCCTTTTCTCTTTGCCAGTACTGTATTCATCATCTCCATGCACAGTTTCTGTCCCCTACTCATTTTTCTATGTTCACATGTTCTAGCAGCATTTTATACACAATAGAGGATTATTCATTGGTTCTAGACACACTGTGGGCTAGCACTTTCTGATGACTTGCAACATATTGAGCCCATTCCAACCTGAATCGGGACTCTAAGAATGGAATCTGGGAGTTCCCAACCTCAGCATTTTTGTAGACTCATGTTCCCTGACCTATGCCAATGCAGGAGGGCTGTCTGCTACCGATTGATTTCAGAAGCATCATAGCATAATGATAATTGGAGGCCAGTGGCTAATTGAGGCTATTTCATAGAGGGTGTATGCTTTAATGAGTGTGGTTTCTTTTGTTTAATGGTAATCACTCTTAATCCATTTACACAAAAGGAACCATAGTTAACACAACTGTAAAGTGGAGAAGCGTGCTCTCAATGGAGCTTCTTCTAAAAATATTTCCAGATTAGTACATTCTTTTTCCATAGTATATTTATTCTTTACATTATGTTGTTCATATCTATTATGTACATTATTATTGTATCTGTAAATGTAAGGACTTCGTATACCTTGTTAATGAGAATAGAAACAGAACTGTATAGGAAAATATTCCTTTCTAATGAATGCTTTGCTATTATATCACACAGATATGAATAGTAAAAACTTTAAGTGTCATTTTTAATTGAAATTCACCAAGAGAGTACATAATTTAGAAATATGAGTATCTTAGCCTATCAATTACTCTAACATCAAATTCTGAAATGTTTGGCTTAAAGGGGTTAATTTAAACCACTGCAAACATAAAATACCCCTAGCTCAAGAAATAGTTCTATTTCCACCCAAAGGGTTTATGTAGAGATGGTCCTTATAATGAGTAAATGTTAGGGATGACTTAAATGCTCAGTTAGATCAGTTGTGATGCATTTACATGGAGGAGGTCATGCTTCTCTTAAGCCAGTTTGAATTAAGTGTGTGTGCTAAATGGAGAGAACCCTAAACTGCTCTTGGATGGCTGATGACATTTCTTTTCTTAGGCTTGACAACAGTTTTGATAATAATTGGGAGTGGCTGTTTTATGTAAAAATTAGCTGTAAGAACCCTTAAGAAATCATTCCTAGTAATCTTCACAAATAATTTACTTCTAAATTCAATAACCTTTTACCCAGACAGTTTCCAAGTTCACTGGAATTGCGGGCTCTTCTCTCCGGGCAGTGAGAACATATTCTCATGCTCTAAATCAGTGTTTAATGACATGCTGCTTAAAGGAGGAAGACCAAGTGACAGTAGGGTTATAATTAAAAATAGGTTTCAGATATTCAACTTTGAAGATCATCAGAGGAAATGGCAGAAAATGAATGGTTTTTATTTGTTTGGTTGTTTTTGTAGTATACCAAAATCAAAAGACCGGGGATGCTAGTTTCAATAGCTCAGACTTCGTTTTCCTTTGCTTACACACTTTCACATAAGATTGCTGCCCTTTTTTTCTCCACTCCAGAATTTGGTCCCCTTGACTCATCCATAGCTTTATCAGTGCAGTATTCCTACAAGTCTAGTCTTTCAGAATAAATGAGGTCACCTCACATATACCTTAGTGTAGTTTAAAAAAAAGCAACCGTCTTAAGGTCTTGAATTTTTGTCTTGAGTAGCTCTTCCTTTAAGTTGTCCACATGTAATCAATTTCTCTGAAATGTGTTTCCCTGTCTCCTGAAAACACAATATCTAGGTTATATAGAGATGCCTTCTTGATGTAGTTGACACTAATGATTAAAGAAATACACGCACCATGTGAGGCTTTACATCTTAAGCTTTCTCTTTTTGACTATAAGTTTGTGGTAAGTGAGAGATTACACAATATTTATCCAACACAATTAGTTCTTGTCCTTAGTCTCAGAATTATGAACTTAAAAATCTGTTACTTTGTTCTTAAGTGCTAAGATCTTTAATATTTGCTTATGTCCTTTCCTTATCCTTTAAACTTTTATGCAACCTCCAAAAAGTGTACTTATTTTTGGCTTCATGAGATTTCCAGTGTTCTTTTTCTTCTTGGATAGTATTTCTTCTTAGCAGAGCACAAGGCCTGGTGTGTGAGTCTTTCAGTATTTGTTCCATGAGTACATCTCTTCGCACAACTTTAGGTAGCCTCAGCAAATAGAGAGATAAAATAAAAGGTGGCACTTTGATGGCAGGCAGATGCAGATCCCATTGTCTACATTTTCCACTTTGTTTTTTCTTTTTCTTTTTTGGACAAGCTGTCCTAATCTGGCTTTCTAATCAGCCAGAGGTGACCATGAATGTTTGACTCCCTACCTCCACATCAGCAGTGCTAAGATTACAGGCACGCACCACCACATCTGGTTTATATGGTGCTGGCTCTTGAACCCACGGCCTAAGCTGTGTGTTCTGACCACTTTTACACATTTTTTCATGAACACAGGCATAAGGTTTACTTTTCCAAGATTCCATCATTTGGTAAAAGGAGCCCTTGTTGGTCTATTGGGAATAGTGACTTAAGTGTCTGCTATGGCTCTTGATTAACAGCAATAGTCCAAAAAATGTGAATTTAGTTTCATCTATATACCTCATACTTAATACCTGACAATATTTATCATCCTCTCACAACTTCTATCACTGCCATCAAACACAACTGATATAGAACAACTTGAATTAAAGCAGAAGACAAGATATTAAAGTCCTCATTGCAAGAGCAGTGGTGTAACAACGCGGTAGCATTCAGGTTTTGTAAACACCAGTGGCTTCCATATTACTCAAAATGCACAAGTAGGGTGAATGCAATGATTTTAATGCGATTAGTCTAGTAGATTGGAGTTGTCCTGCAGGGGAAGAGGATAACAATACAAGAATGAAGTTTCCAGTGTAACAAAAAGAAAACAATAAGAAAACTATGTCCTTGTTACTTTATTATTATTATTTTGTTTTTATGAGGCTGATATGTTTTGGGATATTCCTTATGATGTCTAGAGGACTGACTCCTAGGAGACAGAAAATAATAGGGGGAAACACAATGCACCGGTGGTGGCATCAGCTGGAATGTCATCTCTCCAGCAAAGCTGTAGTGCTCCGTGGCACAGGCTATACCTGAATGCCTTGATGGGGAGATAAGTCCAGATGGAAGTGATTGCACAAGCTTAAGTCCTCTGAGTTGCCAATGCACCCAACAAGGCATCCTTTTTTTTCTTTTTGCTTAGGGTTTATGCACAATTCCTGTTTGCACCCGGGAGGCAAGGCAGGTTAATAAGGCCAAGAAGGAGGGGAGGCTGTGGGAGGGCATAATAACTGGGAGGACTTCACAGCCTCTACCTGGGGGTAAAGGGAGGAGGGCTGAGGATGGAGGGTGTTGTCTTCTGCTTCTGACTATGTGTTAAGTGGCAGGAGAAATTTGGAAAGCTGCTTTGAGGAGGAGCCAGAGGCTGGGCATGGGGTGTTTGGTGCCTCACTCTCCCCACTTGTAGGGAACCTCTCTCCATTCACAGGTAACTGGACTGGAAGACTGGCCAGGGAACAAGGCCATCCTGTCGCTCCTCCTCCTGCTGCCTATCTCTTCTCTCCTGTCTCTCTTTCAAGGCAACGTCAGCCGTGCCAGCCTGGCTGCAGAGCATCTTGACAACTGGAAGCATCTGCTTGGCCTCCCTGTCTACTCCAGGCCACCCCATTAGCTGCTCAACCATCCCTGGCCATTGGGACCTCTTCTGATGGCTGTGGCCTCTGCTGCCCCAGGGAGCATCTCCTCTAAGCAGCTCCTCTTCTCTCTCCTGGTGAGTAACAGCCACAGGATTAGGAACTAGGCATGCTAGCACCTGCTTCCTCCTGCCAGCTGGGGCATGAACATGAGTCTTGGTAGGAAGGGAAGGCAAGGGGAATAGACAGAGGAAAAGAGAGGCTCTGATAAGAGAACAATGCAGAGAAGAGCTGAGGGGCTTTTCCAGGATGGAAAGGAATAAACTCAATCTCCAAGCTCCAGTGCCTGGATACTAATATCTTTCAAGGGAATCCCTCATTTAGTTTCTGTGATATTTTTCTGGGGAGTGGTGAAATAAGTTTATGGAATTTGGCCCAGAAGTTTCTGAGATTTGCTTTAGATACTAGGTATCTATAAATCGCATGCATTTAACATGCTGTTCCACTGAGCAGCAAAAAGAGAAAAAGATTCTGGGTGCAGCTATGAATTACTCAAAATGCTCTTAGTTCACTCAACAAGAGGAATGGGACAGTCCCTGGAACTGCCATGAAGTTGCCTTCCACTTAGGCTGTAACCAGGTCGAACTGTTTACAGGATACTATGTTTGCCTTTGATAGGGAAAGTCTCTCAAACCTCCATGCAGAAATTCTTCATTGTAACTATTGTTTTGTAATTTAATGTCTTATTTTACCGAAAATACTTCAGTTGTAAATTATCTTTTCAGAATTTGGAGGTTTTCATGAATGAGGACAAACATTTTCTCCATATGAGTAATTCTTAGTGCAGAGTTGACAGTCCATTTCTCATTCTGTCACTATCTGGAAAAGAGCACACAGAAACCGCCACAGTTGGCATTGGTTAAGTAAAATATGGTTAAACCCAGCTTCTTCTTGCTTTTGGTTCTGGTTACCGCCAGCCCTTTATCCCTTGATTCATCCTTTGTGCTTTCATCTTTGAACCCTGTACTGACTGGAAAGCTCGCAACTCCTTCCAAGTAATTTAGACCCCAATTTAACTTGGAGGCAGAGGAACTACTTGAGATGTTTTGGAAACTTCCATTGTTTCTGTCTACAGAAGGTGCATTCCTGAGGTGGGGGGCCTAAGGAGAGGGAGGAACTAAAATGAAGATGGGTTTGGAAATGGAGATATATCCTATGAAATATATGCACACACACACATACATATAGGCATATGCATATATACATGCATATGTGTATGCATCTATTTTTAGTTATGATGGGCTTTTCCCACACTATACATGTAGACAATTACCTGAGGCACAGTCTAGGGCAATTCTTGGCGTTAGGGATGATGATACTTCTAAAAAGCCAAATGAATAAGAATGCCTCTTGTTTTCATAAGTGGTTATTTAATTACAGCTGTATGCAGATGTGACCTATTAAATGGCAGCTTGCCACATTATATGCCTAACAGATTTGTAAAACAAATTTACAACATGGTTTAAGCCGCTATGGTACGTCTAGTAGACTTGAGTTGAGTTAGCAGGATACAGCATCCTTGTAATGAACATTAACCATTTTGCTCATCCTTACACAAATAACATGCCCATAGGTTGGTTCTAGGTATTATTTTTATGAGGCTCAAAGATGCTTCAAATAGTTCTCACTTCATCAACAGTAACCTCAAGTAGCAATAATTAAAAAAAAAAAAGGTTGGAGAGATAGTACATCAATGCTTATAGAATTCTAGATTTCAGTACCTTTTCAGTCTAAAGATCTGTGTGATTTGTGGAAAGTCTTGGAGGCAATATTCTGTAAATTCAATGGATCATAACACATTTTGTTGCAATTACGTAATAAAATGGTGTCCTAAGAATTGTCCACCTAATTTTTTCAATGATTCTAAATGACCCTAGAGTTCCCATAGATTGTGTTGATCACGTTCTAAATGAATATGAAAAAGTAGAGGATTAAAAGGTTCATTTGTTTGTAAAATTGATAGTAATTTTATAAACCAAACAAAATTGCAATGTAAAAAAAAGTGATCAAATGTGATATTTGAATTTGTTTTTTTGTTTTTTTTTTGAGGTTTTGGTATTATTTTGCGATGCCTGTCAAAAAATTTCTCTTCAAGTTCCCTCTCATCTTAAGGCCGAAACTCCTGTAGGCAAAGGTGAGACTGTCCTGGGAATTGGATAGTTGTAACTTACTGCAATTAGTATTTGACTGCTCTTTGAAACTTTGGGATGAAAGTTATGTAATTGCTACTCAGCATTAAAACTTTCTAAGGACTAGAAAGTAGCTCACTTTTATTCATGGGGGTTGAAAGTAGCCAAATTATCAAATTTGGTTGTATATCTTTCTTGCTAGAAAAATTAGAAATTATCAGAGACTGAAGAACATTCTCTTAGTTCAAACAAAGCCAAGCATCAGAACCTGAAGCTTATCTTAAGTCATATCAACCCTTCACCTGCCAGAATCCCAGTGCCAGCTTTCTTGACTGGTGAAACATGAAACAATATCAAAGTTGAAATGGTCCATATAAAATCTGCACTTGTGGTTGGTAGCAACGAATACATATTTATTGAGAATTTACATGATCTCTTTCACAGAATATCTTGTGAAAATCAAGTACAGTTTTAGTGAATTTTACTACCACAGTCATCAATATACACTAAGCACAGAGTTTGTCAAACCTCAAAAAGGTTTTATGTGAAGATTATTTGCATTATTAATGAGAAACATTGCACAAGAACAGACTAGGTTTCTCACCTGTTGCAACATGACTTTTATCTTATTGCCAAAGAAAATTTAACATAATCTCAAAATCTATTGGCACCATCTTATGATAAATGGAGTTTAAAACTATGTAAGTATACAATGTACTATGAAACAGAAATTTATATATATCTAATTTATGTATATATGTGTAATTTATGTGTACATATATATTACACATATAATTTCTGTTTCATAGTGCATTATATGCATCTATACATATACATGTATATGCATGTTTATATATGCTTTCTATAAACATATAAATACATATATATTAGCCTGTCTACCTCCAGATAGCTCTTGATTTATGGGGGAGTCATCGTATCCTCTTAAACCCATTGTAAGTTAAAAGTAAAGGGAAAATGCATTCAGCATAGTTAATCTACCAAGCATTGTATCTTAGCAACAGGGTCCACAGTACAATTCCAAACATAATCTCTTACTATCTCCTCATTTGAGGTTTGCTAGGAGTGGCTTCTAACCCTCGCCAGTATCATAAGGAAGGGTTTTACTATACATCCCTACCTTGAAAGAAAATATCCGTATTAAAACCCAAGGCTCAAAGTCAGCTGTTACCACACGTGCATCACTTTCACACTGTCACGAAGTTGAACCACTCTAAGTCAAGGACAAGCCTGCGCACAGCAGGGAGAGTAGAGGCAAACCAAATCCAATAAAGCTCAAGCATGCTTTATTGCTTAAATTAATTCATGATGAAAGTAATGGGAGAGGCAGCAATGTAGCTCAGTTTGATAGAGGCTTGACATTTTTTGGATGAGGTCCTGGGTTGTAACCTCGGCATTGTCAAAAAGGAAGGAAGGAAGGAAGGAGAGAAGGAAAGGGGGCACCAAAACTCCATTAGCTTAATTTTCACAGCCCCTGCATTTTAGAACAGCAGGTGCTCAGTGTCCCACCCTTCTTCTGCTCCTCCCTTGTTAACCGGCAGCTGTCATTCCTGTAAGACTCGTTCCCTTCTGGTTTAACTTGACATTGCTGTGTAATGTCTTCACTGCAGTGAATCTGGAAGAGTGCCTCAAGTCACCCAGCCTGATCCTGTCCAGTGACCCAGCTTTCAGAATTCTTGATGACGGCACAATTTATACAACTCGCGACCTGCTTTTGCCTTCTGAACCGAAGAGGTTCTCCATCTTCCTCTCAGACAGTCAGAGACTCCCGCAAAAGGAGATAGAAGTTGTCCTGTCAGCAAGAGAAACAAAGGTAAAGCAGGTTAGGGCAGGAGGTCCTTACAGGACCCCCATTGCATCAGCAAGGCTAATGTCATCCTTGAGTAAATCCTTTGCACTCAACGTTCTCATAACCGAGGACTGGGCTGTTGAAAAGAGTGGCATATACAGCATTTACACAGTTAGTACTGATGAAGAAGACCAGAGTCAGAATACCAATGACTTCAGATAAATTTTGAGGTGTGGCAGGAAGAGCAGCTAACCTGAAGAACAAGACCAAGGCTAGGGCGGGGCCAGAGAACAACAAAGCAGGGCAAGTAGTACCACTCTGCCCCGTGGCTCCCTTCCAATGGGGCTGTGGCACTCATCAAGGGGACCTGCTCACACAGTCGAAAACTCTATAGGACCTCTATCTTAACAGTGATTCTGTGGCCCGGCCAAGAGGGGTACGCGTGCCTTGTATTTAAGAATGATGAGTCTCAGGCACAAGAAGATTGTTATACTTCACATATATGTTAAGTAAACTAAGCGTAATGACTTAGTCTCTTAAAAAAAACTGATTACATTTATAAACAAATTTCTGAATGAAACCTCTTTTGGTTGCAAAGACCACTCTTCCTTAAATTTAAAATATGCTTCATTTAATAATGCTAAGTAAAGCTGTATTTCATTGCTCATCAAATGTAGGTTTTTAGGAAGAGACACACCGAAGACACAGTGCTCAATCGCAGCAAGAGAAGATGGGCTCCTATTCCGTGTTCACTGATGGAGAACTCATTAGGCCCATTTCCACTACACGTTCAGCAGGTATTTCCCATGTTTTTTAAAACTTTTGTGTGTGTTGAATATTTTATTGTTTTATTTGCTTGTTTTATATCCCAACTACAGTCTCCCCTCCCTCCTCTCCTCACAGTCCTCCCCTCTCTGACCTTCGTTCTGTCCCCCCATCCACTCCTCCATTTCTGTTGAGGAAGGGGCAGACTTCCCATGGATGCCAACCAAACATAGCATATTAAGTTGGGGTAAAACTATGTTCCTCCCCTCATATCAAGACTGGGAAGGCAGCTCAGTTTGAGGAGTAGGGTCTGAAAAGCCAGAAACAGAGTCAGAGACACGCCCTGCTCCCGCTGTTGGAAGTCCACAAGTTACACAATTAAGGCGAAACTTTAAAGGCTGGGCATGCTGCTCAGTGGTAGTATGTTTCCCGAGCACGCACAGGGTCCTAAGTTCTACCCCCAATTCCCAGTAAAGTACATAAGTAAATAGTGTGTAATATATTGAATGAGGGATTTAAATTTTTAACAGTACTGGTATCATCTATTCCTTACAACAAGGAACATATAATGACTTCATAGAGTTTCTTCATCCAAATACTTGTTTTTAAACATTGTATCTATTTATTTGCGGTATGGGGCATGCAAGCGTCATAGAAACACATGTGTATGGTTCATCAGATGGCTTGAAGCAGTTGCTTCTCTCCTTCCATCACCTGGAAGGCTTGCACTCAGGTGGTCAAGCTTAGTGGTAAACATCTGGACTCTGGAGTCATCTCTCCAATTCTAAGCTAGATTTCTAGGCACTGATTTGCAGAGAGTACATCTACCAATTTTGCCTAAGTCAACTTTGCCTTAAATGAACACTTAGCCCCTAAAAATTGCTCACATTTTTGGTTTAGTGAGTGAGCTGCCTCTGCCACACAGCTGAAATGAATGCGTATGGCAGCTTTGGAACAATCTGTAGAATTAATTGTGCAAGAGGTTGTATTACTCCACCTGTGGTCATTCAGTTTTCAATACGAAATGATCTGAAAGCACAGAAAGGTTTCCTGCACTGTGTGTAGGAACAAAACAGGTCAGCGAAGGCACACGGACTACACAGGCTTCAGAACTGCGAGGACAGTAAAATATTAGGGATCAAGCAAGGGACAGAGCCTGTGGCTTCACACATGGAAGACTTGATATAAGACTGAAAAAATGGGAGATGTTGGAAAAATGAACAAAGTGCAGAGAGAAAGTGATTAAAAATTAACTTTCATAAGAAGCTGGATTAAGATTGGTCAAGATGTATTTGTTCTTTCTCCAAATCATCCCTTCTTGTAGATCCAATCTGATGCTGCCCAGAATTACACCATCTTTTACTCCATTAGTGGACCAGGAGTAGACAAAGAACCTTTCAATTTATTCTACATAGAGAAAGACACTGGGGACATCTATTGTACCCGAAGCATTGACCGTGAGGAGTATGACCAATTTTTGGTAAGATTCCTGAAGTATTTATTTAACATGAGGTGTTTATTATTCATGTATTAATATTTAAAATATTATGCTTCACAAATACTAGGTGTCTAATAATTTATTTAATATGTAGACTAGTATAACTATTCAATATAAACTTTGAAGTTTCACTGGTGCTAGGCTGAAAACGTGACAGTGGGTATAGTAAGGGAAGCATATGGGTGGGAGGAGTGTGGAAATACAAGCACATAATTCAAGCACACATGTGTATGTAAGCTCTGGAGAAGTAACACAGATTTTCCTCGGGCTCAAAGTTCTCTGTAATAAAATACTTCAGTTCTTTTCATCCGTGCTTTTATGTTGTAAAACACATAAGATCTAAAAAACAAGATAAGTAAAACTGGTACTTGGGCGAATGCCCAGGAAACCTGAGCTAGTTGTTCTGAGCTGGGTTCTGTCACCCAAGGGATTCTGAATGTGTGTATAAGTTGGTTGGGTCCACCATTTCAGGGCTTGCTTAGCAGGGTGCTACTCCCTCCTCCCCGCATTCTTCAGAAATTTAATGCCTGAGTAGCATTTTGTCTTCCTAGGCATCTAGAACTTATTTACCAGTCCATCTTATTCTTCTACCTAAAGACAAATACACAAACATCTGCTTACCATTCTCATCTTTAACTGGAGTATAAGAGACATCCCCAGTGGTTTAGGAGGAGGACATTGAGGGACGGTTGATAACCATACTCTTTGCTAATGGAGTTTAGCCAAGAGAAATGTCTATTAAGGAAGTTCAGAGAGGAATCTTAACAGCCTTCTGAGAGCTCAGCAGGAGTTGGTGGCCACAGAAGGTCACCTGTTAATGGGTGGAGGGCTCCCAAGAAGATGATATACAATAGAATGACCTATTTGGAGCCAGGCATATTGGACAGACCTGACATTCCACATTGTGGAGGGGCGACCAAGACAGGACGATTGTGAATCTCAGACCACCCCAGGCTATTTAGTGGGAGTCTATCGAAATAGCAAGAGAAGAGCAGAAGGAAAATAGGGTGGGGGAAGGGAGAAGAGAGCGGACTGGAGGGACGAAGGATGGAAAGATAAATCAACTACAACCAACTCTTACCTGAATGTTACTTGACCCTTAGAATGTGAAATATGAAGGTAGAAGGAGAAATCTAGAGGAGAGTGCTTGGTAAAGAAATGACAAAGGGGAGGCTGGCATTTGTCCTGGAACATCATTAAAAAACTTTTTGGGGGTAGCACGAGTTGTAAAACAACGTAATTTCCACTGTAGCTATTTCATAATTGAAGGCAAAGGGTGGGCTGTTGTGAGACTTTCTTTATAAATGAATGCCTCTTCCAAAGTTCTCTAGATTAAACATATTTTGCTTCTAATAGTATTTTGCCAGTATATACTTTGTATGATGATGTTAGGTCCCCTAGAACTGGAGTTATAGACAATTGTGAGCTGCTATGTGGGTGCTGGGAATTGAACCCCTGTCTTCTGGAAGAGCAGTCAGTGCTCTTAACCACTGAACCATCTCTCCAGTCCCTTAAACTATTTCTTAAGAATGTTGATTGAAACTATAGCAGAGAGAAGCCAAACATTGTAATCTTTTCATCTTTAGTTTCTTAATTGTTGGGAGTGGAATGCAAGCATTGGTCATAGGAGTCAAGTAAGAGCTCTGTTGCAGAGCTAACTCTAACTCAGCATGGTTTTCATTTTCATCTCTAGTTTTTTTTTATCCTGGTGATTGCACGTGGGGTCCTATCTATGTAAGCTAAATATGTAACCCGCACCCAGTCCCACTGGAACCATTTTTACCTTTCTATTCACACACAAGTGACACGTGCTAGAGACATTGTAACCACTTGCTGCCTTGACAGCACCTTCCCCAGAAGCAGAGAGGTAAAGTTACCCACAAGGCACTTTGTCTGATCCATAAGAAGCAGTGCTGTGTTGTTGGTGTGGGGTTTACTTCACTGAACACTCTCTATGAGAGTTCTTATAGGGACTGGTTTTTAACCTTCTGCGTTTCCTTGCTTCTTACTATAAATACTGTTGGGGGATTGTTAAACAAGCTTCTCTGATATTTTACTACTGCTTGACACCTTCATGCTCCTCCCAGTGAATTTTTGTCATCCTCACCTTTGTCCCCAGCTCCCGGTACCAGTCTCCTTCTCAGCCGCGGTCTTCCTTCCTTGCCATCGCTTTCTGTGTGGCTAGAGTTCCCTTCTTGTTGTATGTGTTGCTAGTTTTACATTTTTATGCGGGAGATGAATACAATGATTTGGAGTCAATAATCAAATTTAGGCTTTTTAGCAATTTCATCTGGAGAGCTACCCTGTTTCTCTCATGCTCAGGTCTAAATCAGTATTAAGAAATACCACTTGTAATATATATATACATATATATGTATATATATTTTATTTTTAAATTTAAATTAGAAACAAGGTTGCTTCACATGTCAATTCCAGGTCCCTCTCCATTTCCCTCCCCTCCTCCCGTGCCCTCCCACCAACCTCCCAATATCCCCTCATTTCCCCAGGGAGGCTGAGGCCCTCCATGGGGGTGTCCATAGTCTGTCATTTCATCCAGGGCAGGGCCTAGACCCTCCCCCAAGAGTCCAGGGTAAGAGTGCATCTCACATTGTTGGATGGGAGTCCAAAGTCCATTTGTATACCCGGGATAAATACTGATGTACTAACCAAGGCTCAATAGACTACCTAGGCCTCCTCACCAACACCCACATCCAGAGGGTCTTGATCAGTCCCATGCTGGATTCCCAGGCATCAGTCTGGGATTCAAGAGCTAACCCTTGTCAGGTCAGCTGTTTCTGGGGGTTAAACCAGCCCAGTCTTAACCCTTTGGTCATCAGTCCTCCCTCTCTGTCACTGGATTTCTTGAGTTCAGCTCAGTGCCTATCCACGGGAGTCTGCCTCTTCTTCCATCAGCCACTGAATGAAGTTGCTGTTTCCCAGACTCTCTGGCCATGGGATTGTAGGCTGGCACTCCCCAGATCTATGTCTAAAATCCATATATGAGAGAGTACATACCATGGTAAAATATATTTTTAAAAAATCAAATTTACAAAGTGAAATATCACAAGAAGATTTAAACACATTGCAAACTAAAATCACAAGAAGCAGGATGGATTAGAAGATTTCTCTGTCAAAGGAAAATTTTAATTAATGTGCTCTAAAATTACATATCAGTGTTTTAAAACAACAGTTTATTTATTGTAGCCTGTTATAAAAGACTGTATAAATATATTTGTTCTTTTCTCTCTTTTTTGTATTTAAAAATTATACAGCAATTGTATGTGCTCCCTAATTCCTCTTAGGCCCTAACATCCTTCCCTACCCATCCAACTTAATCTCTCTCTGAAAAACAAAATAAGACAAAACACACACACACTAAGATAAAAAAATAATAAAGATCAAAACAAACAAGCAAACAAAACAAAAAACCCAGCAAGACAAAGGTATCAAAACAAACAAACAAACCCTCACACAAAAAAACATGACCTTTGTTTTGTGTTGGTTAACTGCTTTGGGCATGGAATCTTCCTGTGAGTGTGGTTTATACATCCAAATGATGCTCCATTGGGAAAAACCTCATTTTCCCTTCTTGCAGGTATCAGTTGCAAATAGCTTCTCCATTAGAAATAGTTTTTGTGTCCACTTCCCCTTCTCAGGGCTGGGACTTTCTCTGCTTTGAACCTGTGCAGGCTCTGAGCTTGCTGTCAGAGAGTCTTTGAGCTCAGATGTGCCTTCACCCTATTGTGCATGGAAGATACTATTTCCTTGGGGTCATCAACCACCAGAGGTTAAAAATTACATTGTATGGCTTGTTCCTCTAGTAAAACTTAAGTTTCTATCACTGTTATTTGTATCTTGGTGAGCCATAACCTCCAGGAATCTGTCTCTTTAATTTTAGGCTGTGAATAGCTATCTGTCTGCCACAGAGGTGTTCTAATGGGTGATACAACACTGACAATATCACACACTAACAGAACTCTTTAGAGACGTATACTATACACACACTGTAATTTTGTACTGGGTGTTTTGATGCAATTTCTTGATCGTCTGCTTTTATTTAATTTGTAGAAATGTGAGGTTTTAAAATAATTTCACTTACCCAATGGCTGAGAATGACATCCTTGGGACTAACTAACTACTTATTTTTCCTGTGTTCACGTCTGTTTTCTGCCTCATGCTGTTTTGTTTATCTTGACTTCTGAAGATTTTCCAGGCAGGTCACCCCATTATTGCAGTTTAAGGAGTTATTTTTTTAATCATTAAATTTACCTAATCTGACAGAGCATTTTGACATTTTATCAAATATGAGGAGAGTTTTCTATGTAATTTTTCTTATAAGGGAAATTTCTGTATCTATTCCAAATTATTCCACAAAGACAGTGGCTAAGATTTTTCTTTCTAGTTATTGGATGTTTGCATCTTTGAATAAAATCCATAAAGCTCTGGCCTCTTCCCTTTTCACCCAGAAGTATTCTGTGGAGTGATGCTGATCTTGTTTCCAGACATGTAGCTCTGGCCACCATCTATTAGATCATAAAATGTCAAATGTGCATTGTTATACTGACATTTACTTCCGAATTAAAAATTGCATCACCACCCCAAATTACCTTACAATGACTGTAAAATTCATATATTATGGGAAATTTACAAAATCAAGTCTGGCTTATTAAATCTATATTTCATTTTATTCTTATTTCCAATTTCACAATAAAAATCCACCTTTGCTGGCTGAGACAATAGGACTAGTTACAAAACCAAGGTGAAACAGAAATCTATTTTGCCAATAGATGGAAAATAATGGATTAAGAAAGTCAGCTTAGTTTAAATGTAAAGTTTCCATGAGATGTAACTTGACACATATCTGTAGTTTCCTATAAATAACTAATAAAATATCGTTTAAATATATAGTTTTTATAGATTAATAAAATAATATTTCATTAAAATGCTGAAGACATTTGTAATCTAATAGATAATTTTATTTCATCTAGTCTTAAATTTTAAAACCAGTCTTTTGAGAAAAAAAAAACATTAGATCCTGGCAGCTAGGATTGAGATTATCCTATTGTCATATAGTTTAGGATTTGAATATGTTTTTACTAACATTTTATTAGAAACACATATTTGTGATAGAAAATACACATAGAGATATTACCCAGATATAACAGTGATATGTATCTGTGTATAATAAAATTGAAACATGTTATAAGATTTGATAGTAGTCATTATGAACATAAATAACTTCAAGGGGTCTACCTGTGTTCTGACAAGTCAAAAGAAACACAATTAATTCTGAGAGCCCTTGGAACTCATGGTACAGGGAGCATATGGGCCTTTGGTAGGAGAATAATGAGAAACAACTCTTCAAGGTGGCTGAATCTATATTGTGCATGCCCATGGTGACTCTGCGTGCTATATATTGTGTCCTTTTTTAGCTAGCATGATGTTTTTAAACAACACCCTTTGCCTTTCCTGGGCTTTCATTCATGCATGTTTTTTTCACGTAAGAACCAGCTGATAGTGTTGTCTTCCTTCCAGGTCTATGGATATGCAACGACGGCTGATGGCTACGCCCCAGACTACCCTCTCCCCTTGCTGTTCAAGGTTGAAGATGACAATGACAACGCCCCATATTTTGAAACCAAACTGACAGTTTTTAGTGTGCCTGAAAATTGCCGAATTGGTAAGTTCACATTAAAAAACAACATTTACAATTTATTGTGTGTGTGCCCATGTATGTGTGCATTAGTGTGCGCATATGTCTGTGTGTGTGTGCATGTGTGTCTGTATATGTTTGTGTGCATGTGTGTGTGTGTGTGCATGTGTGTCTGTATGTGTGTGCGCACATGTGTGCATGCACATGTGTACATGTGTTGTGTGTGCATATGTTTGTGTGCATGTACATGTGTGCATGTGTCATGTGTGTATGTGCTTGTGTGCATGCGGCTGTCAATGATGGGCTCTCTCCTTGCACAGTGGATTTGGGGTCTTGACCTCTGATTGCCAGGCTCAGCAACAAGCCCCTATATCTTCTGTCCCATCTTGCTGGCCTGAGGTTTTACAGTGGTATAATAAAAAGATACTTGCGCTTCAAAATACTTCAAGGTAAAGTGTCTGCCAGGCATGGTAGTACATACCTTAAACCCTAGCACCCAGAAAGTAAAGGTCAGTGACATCTGCATACTCAGGACCAATCAGGACTCCATAAAGTCAGCCTTGGCTACAGAGAGACACTGTCTCAATAAACACTTCACCGTTTTTTTTTATTTTTTTTGTTTTTGGTTTTTTTTTTGGGGGGGGGACTTTGGATTATACTCAATTTTTGTTTGCCTATTAGAAATGGTTTTCCTATTAAGGGTTAGATTGGCCTGAGCAAATTTTCTTAAATTTAATCTTATACTTGCACTAAGTTAATACTTTTCCCTTTTATATCACGACCACAATTCTGGTAATTTTATTTGATTCAGTTCCCCCTAAGGTCAGTTGTCAGTGTTTGGTAGTTTCATATAATAGAAATATTGTAGCATGGAAAGAATTGCTGGGTTTTTATTCAGCTGGGAGCTTTCTAGAAGAAGGGATCTAGCTGGGAATTCAGAGGGAATATATGAAGCCAAGATTGTACTCTGGCCCTCTGGAAGAGTGTAAGAAAACAGCCCAGTGTTTAAAACACCGTAAGAAGTGTTTTTAGCTATGACCCTCTGCATTCTGCTGCTGAGTCATGTGCAGATATGATGCTTCCCTCTCAGAAGTGACTGTAAAGATGTAATGCTCAGTCTACGACTATCCTCTGAACATCAGATCACTGCATTGCATTTAATTCTCTCCTGTATTAACAACTACTTGCATCTAAGAATAATTCAGCACATTTATTAAAACACACATGTAAAGTCGGGGCTTTGCAAAGACATTATACTAAGTTGTGCTACAAGAGAGAAGTTGCCATTTAAATGAACTGCTGTTAACTGCCAATTGTTGACCAGAGAAAGAATTTGAGAGACATTGTTACCAAATGTCTGATTTTCCTGTGTGTAAAATACAAGCCATGCTTTCCACAGTATTCACTTAGCTGAAGTTCCAGTAAGAGGTGCTTGGGGGAAGTTTGAAAGAACATTTGACAATATTCAGATTATCTGTAAGCATCACTGATGTGTGTGTGTGTGTGTGCGTACAATATATTGCAGTGGTGCCTGTATTTTTTGGTTATAGCTCAATTATATTATGATTTACATTTTTTTATGATTTAAAATTTTGACAATACCGGCTTCATCTAAACAGGAACTTCAGTGGGACAAGTGACTGCCATAGACAATGATGAGCCCGGAACCCTACATACTCGTCTGAAATACAAAATCCTGCAACAAATCCCGGATCACCCAAGGCACTTCTCCATACACCCAGACACCGGTGTGATTACTACCACCTCCCCTTTACTGGACAGAGAGGTAATGGATCAGTGCATTAACTCATCAGTCACTGTGTTTACGCCTGTAATTACTGGCAGGATGATTACAGTGTAGCCAATGTGCTTACTCCCTAAGCCTCCTTCCCAGGCTATCACCAGGCTTTCTCTGGAGACTTTTGCCTCTGCAGAGATGCTGCGATAGTACAAGGTAAAGACAGGTCTGACTTGCTCTCATTGTGCCGATACGAGATCCTGATAACATTGCTCTAATTTATTTCATTTCTCATTTGGAAAACAAATTTCATTATAATGTATGCCATTTTAAAAATGAACAAATTGTCTCATTAAAGCGGGTTTAGAGTCACTGGTAAATAGAGCAGAAAGTCAGTGGATTCCTATTTCTTTCCACCCTCACACTCCTATAGGTCTATTGTCCATTGCTACTTCCTTTTCTTGAGCTCCTGGGGTCACTGACATATGTAAATATATGTTATTTACATCTATGTATATACATACACGTAGAGGGGAGTTATTGGAAGAGAGATTCTTCATGGTTTCACCTCTTTCAGGATGGCACAGTCTGAGCCATACAATATGAAGCCTTTCCAGGCTGGCTGCCTTCTCCTGGTAATCTGCATTTCCCTCGTGTCTTTTCATGGCTCAATAGCTCATTACTTTACAATACACACTATCCTTCTGTCATCTGGATATGCAAGACCGTTTATTCATTTCTCAGCAAAAGAATATCTAGGTTTCCGGAAGTTTTGTCAATTATGAATGGAAAAGTTTAAATTGTACACATAAAAATCAGCTTCTGGATAGTTGCTTCCTTTTCTTTTGTTGTGAGAAAATAGCTGACAGGAGTAACTCAAGGGAGGAAGGTTTGGTTTGTGCTCAGCTTTGAGAGTACAGTTCACCACGGCAGGAAGACATGGTGTGAGCTCGCTGGTCACACTTCACAGATAAGAACCAGATAATGCTGCAGCTCAGCCATCTATCTCCATTTCCCCTTACATTAGTCTGGGATCGTAGCGTACAGGATGGCATCTTCTTCCCCAATCAAACCTCTGGACACGCCCTTTCAGGCATGCCCAAGGGTGTGTCTCCTAGGTGGTTCTAAATCTAGGCAAAGTGACAGTTAAAATTAGCTTTACCATTTGCTGGATTTCTTGTTTGGTATTGGTATTTACAACGTTTTTATTAGATAATATTCAGGGATGGGCATGCAGTTATGTGAACAGAGACATATAAGAATTTTAAAGCACATTTGTAATATAAGCACAGCACAAAGAGTATTACAATAACTATACGTGAGGGGAAATTGACATTTTCTCCAATAAGCTCCCTTTATTTCATCTCTCCCTCCCTCCCTCTCCCCTCCCTCTCTCCCTCCCTTCTTCCCTGCCTCCCTTCCTCTCTTCCTCCCTCCCTCCTTTTCTCCCTTCCTTTCTTCCTTTCTTTTTTCACAGAAATGTGATACTTACAAGCTGGTGATGGAAGTTCGAGACATGGGGGGCCAGCCCTTTGGTCTATTCACTACAGGGACGATCACAATCTCACTGGAGGATGAGAATGACAACTCGCCATATTTCACCCAAACTTCTGTGAGTACACTTGTGTGTTGTTTGTCTAGATTCCTTCAGATTAAAAGAACTAGAATTTGGAAGCTCCTTGAGGACAGACATTTTGTTTTAAACATGATTGCTGTAAGAAGACTAGCTGAGGTGTTGCTGTTTTGGAATGTAAGGAAGTGGTCTTGGTGTTGGCTGCTGAAAAATTAATTCTTCCCCTCTGATGGGGCACACGTGCTCTGTGTTTCCTTGGTTATTATGTTTGCTTCAGTTTGGGGATCCTTGGAATTAAATTCTTTGATAAATTGAAGAAGAGATTTCTTTCTAGTGTCCTGTGAATTACAAGTTCTGAAGGAGAAGAATTGGCCTTATACCCTCTGCTTGGGTCAGAGGGAAGTCCTGCCCCCAGGTCCTCTTGTGTAGTGCCTTATTTAGTAAATTATGTGAGGCATAATAAATGATGATATTTCCGGGGAGTGATTATTTTTCTGACTTTCAATGAGTAACTTTGCATTTTTTCATGAGTCTACACTGGAGTTTTAGCCAGAGAATAAGAAGCCTAACACAATGATGGACAGTTCACTGTCAAAGATCTCATTCATATAGACCATAAACCAGGTTACCTAGGATTTAAATCTAGAGCCAATCTTTTCATCTTCCTATGAATTCATCTTATATCTCTTGCAGATTATGATTTATCTTTTTAGTCTTTTAATACTTTAGGCTTCTTTTTTTCAACTTCAAAGAGAGATGCCTATGATTTAAGTTCTCAAAACAACAGAGAGAAAACTTTTCTCTTAAAATGTTTGCTTGTGAATCCCAGTAAGTAAAAACAAGATTATTGTGAATACTGATAATTCTGAGCTGCAGCCATAGCTCAGGTGTAGAGCATACTTGAGACACCAGGTTCAATCCACAGTACTGTGAAGAAAAGAAACCCATCATATATATTCTCACTACCTAAGTATTATGTGATTAGTAAGTCAGTGTAGTTTAACTTGTGTTTGCTATATCTAAAAGAAGAGACAAAATGTAAATGTCATATAGGGTTAGAGAAGAGATAAATCCTTGGGTTGGATAGATGGAAAATCACCTCACAGAACTTTGGCAGTTAAGAGATGAGTCACCTTTGGTGAATGGAAGGAATTCATAAAGAGGATTAGGAAAAAAGAAGTTAACCAGACATGAAACATAAATTCTTTTCCAAATTATGAGTGTCTATTATCTCCATATTACATTCTTTATAATTTTAAATATAAAACCACTCTGTTAAAGCTTCAGATGTATAATTAGAAAGGCATTTTACCCCCAGTATACTACAGAAGTAGAAGAAAACAGAATTGACGTTGAGATTCTAAGAATGAAGGTGCACGATCAAGATTTGCCCAACACTCCTCACTCAAGGGCCGTATACACAATTCTCCAAGGCAATGAAAATGGGTACTTCAAAATCACAACCGATCCGAATACAAATGAAGGAGTCTTGTGTGTTGTCAAGGTATGTAATAGTCATAAAGACAGTGCTTAAGCCTTTAAAACCCTTATTTCAGCATTGGTATAAAAATTATGGTCTTCAGATGAGCTACAGGCAAAGGACACAGAGGGAGGAGAGTCACTCCTCACCAATGTAGCCACTCCATCCACAGATGGTAAGCCAGGAGGAGGACTTGGGAAGAAGAAGGGATTTTGTGGTGGGGAAAGGGGATAAGAGAACATAACGGGGGCTTTGGTAAAAGGATATTATATATATGAAGGTGATGTGTTATAATTAAAAACCAATACTTCCTGCATGTGTATCACCACAATAATGCAGTATGGAGCTGAAATGCTCTACACTGATTGACACAGACACTTTCCTATTATTTTAATCCTTCTTACTCATATCAGACACAAACTTCATTTCTCTGTAGATGAGGATAGCTATGGCAGAGAAATGTTGAATCTGATACTTGCCTCAATGGATAGCATTGAGTGTGCACACTACCTGGCTGCTCTCTGAATCACTATGTCCATGTCTCCCTCTTGCAAGTCTTTCCTCTTTAATTTCCAAGAAGTAGCTAAAGCTTTCTGAAGGAGTTATTTTTGATAAGATTCTCATACATTTATACTATATGTTCTTCTTCACTTTTTCTTGTCTTCTGTATTTCTTTCCTTCACTTTTTTTTCTTGAAATTTAACTTGTTTCACAAGTCTTACTTGGATTAGAAACAATTGTGCTGCAATCCTATTAGTGTTTAAAGTTATAATAAAAAAATGAAGGTAGGATCTTCTAAAACAAAATTAAAAAGAAAAGTGGTTGAATCTTAAAACTTGTTGATTTTAACCATTTTAGGAAGCAAATAATTGACCTTTTTGTTAACACCAACTTTGGGTAACATTTTAAAATTAAGAATGGCATTCCCTCTCTATTAAAACTTGGTATCATCGGTGTTTTGTATAGCAATACGTTGACTGATCAGTGTATGTTTATACACAGCCACTCAACTATGAAGCCAATCGTCAGGTCATTCTGCAAATTGGTGTCCTTAATGAAGGTCAGTTCTCTAAAGCTGCCAATGGACAAACCCCCACAATGTGCACCACAACTGTCACAGTGAAAATTAGAGACAGCGACGAGGGCCCCGAGTGCCAGCCACCCGTCAAAATCATTCAGAGCAAAGATGGACTGCCAGCCGGTCAAGAGCTCTTGGGCTACAAAGCCAAGGACCCAGAAACAAGCAGTTCTGAAGGCATAAGGTGGTGTGCTTCCTTGAAAGCTCCTGCACTTTTACGGGGGCATGAACTTATTTCATATTTAGAGATGGTCAGTGTGTCCCCTCTTTGCTCATTTGATGTTTACTTCTAAAACCCAGGTATCAGAAGGTGGGAGATGAAGATAACTGGTTTGAAATTAACGAAAGCACTGGAGACTTGAAAACCCTAAAAGTACTAGACAGAGAGTCAAAGTTTGTGAAAAACAACCAATACAATATTTCAGTAGTGGCGATGGACGCAAGTGAGTGACATTTTCTAAAAGTAAGATGTGAATATAGAATGTATGTCTAAGAAAGTGTGGGGTAAGAACTGTCTGTGTCTAGGTCAAATTTTAGCTAAGTCATTGTAAAGTCTACAGTGCAGAAACAATGTGTTCAGTATGGTTGCTCATTTATACTCAGATCACCCATTTAGTCCTCTGACCACTCCTCAAGCAAAGCTACCCGAGAGTAAGTGACCGACGTCTTATTTTGAGTATTGGTTACTCATTTCTGTTGAGGGATCTCTGGGTTACTTCCTCTTTCATTTGTGTTATGATGCCATGAACATGCTGAAATGGTTCAACCCATCTAAAACCGTTCATGCTAGGTTTATTCTGAGCCTCTCTTAAAGAAATAATTCAATATTGGCTCACACTTTTCCTGGAGTTTGTGACTGTTGAGAGTAGTTCACATAACCACTCACAAAGGAAAAATAGTGTTCTTCAACCGTCTCGGTGTATACAAACCACACTTAAGGATAGGGCCCCATGTTCAGTTGTAGGTTACCAACACAAAACAAACTCTGGTATTTTTGATGATTTAAAAAAATATATCATAATGTCTTGCTGGGCTTTTGTTGTTGTTGTTGTTATGGTTAATGAAACACTACTGTCAAGAACATGGTGCCTCTAGGAATCTGGAGACAGAGGCCATGGAGGGGTATGGCTTACTGGCTTGCCCCTCATGGCTTGCTCAGCCTGCTTTCTTGTAGAACCCCAAACCACCAGCCCAGGGATGGCACCACCCACAATGGGCTAGATCCTCCCCCATTAATCATCAATTAAGAGAAATCTCCCCATCAATCATTAATTAAGAAAATACCCTACAGGCTTGCTTACAATGGATTCTTACAGCATTTTCTCAACTGAGGCTCCCTCCTCTTTGATGAGTCTAGCTTGTGTCAAGTTGACATAAAGCATAAGGACATTTACCTTACAGGTCTTTTGCTTATATTTTATTTACCTAGTTTTTGGCTTTGTATTTTTATTGGATTTTAGTATGCATATGTATGTGTTTCTGAGTCTATCTTTGTTACTTGTGCTTTTCCTTTGACTCTTTTTTCTATTTATTTTGTCTTATTTTTGTTTGTAGTATTTTATTTTATTATTATTTTTATGTGCCTATTTGTTTTCTAATGAAAGAGAAAGAAAGGGTATGGATTGGGAGGGTGGGGATGTGGGGAGGATCTGGGAGGCACTGGGGGAGGGGAAACAGTAAGGAATACATTGCATGAAAAATTCATTTTCAATTAAGCAACAATAACAAAAGATCAGTTCTAGAACCTACTTTATAGAGAGTCACTTCAGATATTGTCAACTCTTGAAATGAACCCTACTGGAACCATGTTAGATAGTTTAGATAAATATATGCTTATAAAATGCACTAGTAATGTTTGCTAGTGGGTGCATGTACTATTACACAATATATTATATAAATCTATATCACAGAAATAAGTGAAATGAAGGTTAAACAGAAGTTACACTTTGATTATGTACATCCCCATGTAAGAAAAATCTTCATAGAGATAAAGGGAAATGATCTTGGGCTTTTCAGATAGAGCTCGTTCTTTTGCTTCTCTGATTAACCAAAGTCTCTGCTGTTTTTCAATATGCAAGCTGCGTGTGTAAAACATACTGCCAGACAGTAACATAGGTTATTTCTGTACCTGTCTTGAATTTGCACAAGCTAATAACATACAATGATTCCCCAGGTATTTTGGATATAGTGTTTTTGCAAATTTTTACATTGTGTGTATGTGTGTATGTGTGTGTGTGTGTGTGTGTGTGTGTGTGTGTGCGTAGATATGTACATGTTAAGTAATTAAGATGCCGGCTGTTTATCGCAGGGGCAAGCTGACTCATGCACACTCTCCCTACCCATGGCTTTTCTCATGTCTCAGTCCTGCTGCCTTTGGATAAAAATACCACATCCTCTTCAGGGAGTTGGCCAGCAGGATTAAAGAAGCCTCCTCCCAGCTAAACCATCCATGTTTCAGAATCTTAACTCTCTCTAAATGTGAATGTCTTTACCAAGTAACCTGCCTGCATATCTTCTTTCTATTTGTTCCACACCTCAAACATACATTCATTTTATATAGTTTTTTACTATGAGCTCAAAAACCCTACCGAATAATGGGGGGGCATAGCTGAGAAACATTAACATACCATACTTTTTAATTCTGGGTGATTTGTTATTCTTTCTTTGAAATGTTTGCTAATCCTATAAGTAAAAATGAAATCTAAAGTGGCTTACACATATAATTATGATGGAAAATAGGGCTCTCTATTAATTTACTTTTACATGTTGATTATGGATTAAATTCTAAGCACAAGACCATGGAAACTAGGGATCATGAGATAAGGATTTGTTCTTACTAATAATGACAGCTTTACTGCTTTATATTCTCAGAAGAGAGTTTATGGTATGAAAAGTTTAGCAATAGAGAATGTTTAGAGAAAGTTCAGAGGCTCTCATTTTGGACCATAAAGTAGGAAAGATTGTAGAAATGCTGGCACTTGATGAAAGAAAAGTGAAATTCTAAGTTAGAGATGAGGAAATTACAGAGAGCAAATTATAAGAAAGTAACTTTGTTCTTTAATGTTGAAAGATGTAGGCATGGTGGGTTAGTATAAAAGAGTAAAGCTTAGGCAAACAATGTCCCAGAGTGATACATAACCAAAATATGCTCTAGAAAAGATGAGGATACTAAAAACTTTAATGAGGAAATCATATGGCAATATAATGAACACTTTCAGTTTTAGTCTCTATGTATGCATGAGTAATATATAATGAACATTTTGTTTGGATTATCAAAAGTATTTTCTAAATTATGATTCAGGAAGTCCTAGTGACTTCTTAGAATCCAGCTCATTCCTTGTATTTCTTGTGTGTTGTATTCTTGTCTGTCCTCTGATTATCTGCCATCAGTCTAGGGGACACTGTTTTACATACCTTTCTCCTAGAACATGAGAACACCAGTGCTCCCCCCAAACCTGCCTTCAAACTTATGTCCCTTAAATTATTCAAATAAATAGCAATGACAGCTTTTTGGTTGTCCCCATTGTCCTTGTTTGGTTCTTAATTCTGCAATTTAAGCATTTTTATACACTGGAATTAATATTCCAATTATTACAATGCTGTGTTGTTACTCTGAAAATGTACCTTCTTTCTCATTCATATTATTTTTTCTAGATTTGTTATGAGCTCAATTTTTTCCATTGGTAAACTTTTCCCTTATGAAACATCAAGATGAGAATTTGCCACATGTATGTTTAATGCAGATTTTGAAATTTTATTTATGCATGTGTGTTCGTATGCATGCACTATGTTTAGAAAGCTAGAAGAGGGTATTGAAATCCCTGGACAGTTGTGAGAGGCCAGACTGTTGATAGCCAAGCAAAACCAAGACTTTCTCAGAAACCCTGATAAAAAGCCAAAGGGAACCTAGTTCGGTGTCCTCACCCAGGGACAGATTTGGCAAGATGGGGGCTGGGGCTGCGGCAGGGTGTCAAGTGAGTTAAAGTCCTGAGAACTTGCTTTTTCCCCCTGAAGAGACTGAGTTACCAGTCCCGAGGTTTCTGTGTGTCTGCTCTCTGACACTTGTGAGATATTCTCTGTTCACTTTACGGAGCATTGCTTTATGAGCTTTCTGCTAAATGTGTCCCGTTTCTCCCATAAAAACTCCATATAAGTTTCTGTGCTTCTTAATAAACTTGCTTGGCATGAAACAGTTTGTGCAATAACTCCTGATCCCAGGGTTCCTTTCTCTTTAACTTCTGGTCTTCCCCTAAGGACCCTGTAACTGAAGAATGACCCGCTTGTCCATTTTGCCTGACATGTATGCTACCATCTTAGCTGTGATCCTCTGAAAGAGTAACAAGTACTCTTTCCCAATGAGTCCCAAGTAATGCAAATGCCTAGATTTGCTATTCCTCTATGGGTCTAGAAGTATATAAACCTCCAGATCTAGGTTGTGAAATTCACTACAGAGGACTTTATAACTTTGATGTCTACTTGGAAAAATTGAGCTTATGGTTTATAAAATACCTTATTTTTATCTTCTTTAAAATGTCTTAAGATTATTATTGTGTGGCTATCATATCAAAGTGCAATTAAATTTTGTTTGATTCCAAAAGCAATAACACGATATTGAAAGTTAATGGTTATGACACAACTTGAGAAGAAACACCATGGTCTCTTTCTTATAACAAAGGACTCTATTCATTCAGGGGCTGACTTGTAATAGGACAAGCTTGCAGACATGGAAAACATACTGTAATGAGAACTATTGACTTTTCCGAGGCTTTTTCTAGAAATGCTAAGAATTTGTAGGTTAGTTGGCCATGTACTTATCAGCCCTGTGACTGCTATTTCCCACTCACTGACACTTATCATTTACCTACACAGAATATTTAACGTAAGTTGGTGAACTAGATAAATGTATGGTACTACCTCTTTGTGATGTTCTGCCATTTCCAGAAGCTGGAATAATCAGCCTTTGGTGTCTTGAAAAATCTTCTAAGAGTTTATTTTCAACTCTGGTTTTGACTAACAAACTTCTCAGTGGTGTCAAGCGTCTCCCATTCTGTTTTTTATTTTTATTTTTATTTTTTAATTTTTATGAAACAGGGTTTCTCTGTATTGTTTTGGAGGCTGTCGGTCCAGCCTGGCCTCGAACTCACAGAGATCTGCCTGCCTCTGCCTCCCGAGTGCTGGGATTAAAGGCGTGCGCCACCACCGCCCGGCCTCCCATTCTGTTTTTAATCAGCATGCTTCAAACCGAGAATCTTGTAGGAAGAAAACCATTACACGATAAATGTTTTTAAACATAGACTTAAGTGAATCTCAATGTGCTTTGCCATGGGAGTAACTTCTGTGTCATTTGTTCTAGTTGGCCGGTCCTGCACAGGAACACTGGTAGTTCTTCTGGAGGATTTTAATGACCACGCACCTCAGATTGACAGAGACCTGACCATTTGTCAGCAGGATAAGGACTATGCTATTCTGGAACCAATTGACCTGGATGGACCTGACAATGGCCCTCCTTTTCAGTTCCTTTTGGATAATTCTGCCAGCAAACTTTGGACTCTGGAACCACAAGATGGTAAGTGATTATTCTAAATCCTGAAAGCAATCTTGGCTCAAGATTGCTGAAGGCCTTTGCTTCCACCTTGGTTAGTCATAATAAATACATACGCACTGTAGGAAGTTACTGATCTTGGGAATATAATAACGCTTTAACATCGGTCTTCTGTCACATATCGTATGTCTACCATATAGCTATGATTTATCTCTGTATATCCTCTATTTGTTAATTAATTATCTACCTAACACCTTGCAATTATTAATTATCTACCTATGCATGCATGTGTCTATTTATATATCAATCATCGTCTATCTACGTATGTTACAATTAGACATTGCTCTGAATATCTTTTAAGAAAATATAACAATCAATTTTAAAATCATCTGAATAACATTTTAAATACAGATCAGTCTATTTTTCAGACTATTTTCTTTTCTTTCCTTTTCATTCATTTTTTCTTTTTCTTTCTTTTTTTTTTTTTTTTGAGACAGTGTCTCTCTATATAGCCTTGGTTCTACTGGAACTATGTTGACTACATTGGCCTCACACTTACAGAGATTCACCTGCCTCTGTCTCTGCCTCTGCCTCCTGAGTGCTGGGATTAAAGGCATGTGCCACCATTCCAAACCTAGATATCATTCTATTTTTAATGTAAAATAATATCAACCCTTTTTTACTTTTCTGAGACATCAAAATCATTATTAGAAAGAAAATGAACCATTACAGTTTTGATTGCAGATCAATTCCTTGAAGGCACACCATGTAGGAACAATGTTGCTGTTGAAATGTCACACTAATATACACCCTTTTTTCTTTAGGTAAACGTGCCATTCTTCGTCAACGACACAATCTCAATTATAACTACTATTCTGTGCCAATCCAAATACAAGATAGACATGGTTTCTCATCAAAACATATGTTATCAGTGAGAGTATGTGACTGTACAGTTCAGTCCGAATGCAGAATGAGTTCTAAGGAGGAAAGGGATGCTAAACCAAATGTAGTCCTTGGGAAATGGGCCATTCTCGCCATGGTCCTTGGCTCTGCATTGCTACTGTGTAAGTATTATTCTTCAAAGTGCATTTACTCAAGTGCTATACAATACCGATGTGTTAATTTTCCATCATTGTAACAAAATCCTGGGGAAAACAACTTACACAGAGAAGAGGTTTGTTTTGCGTTGGGTTCAGAGGTCTTGGTCATGGGTCTGTTGTGTTGTGCCTGTGACCAAGTAGCACATGGCAAAGCTAGAAACCAAAAAGAGAGCAAGAAGAAGCTAGGGTTCACTCTTCTCTTTAAAGGCACGTCCCCAATGATGCAACTTTCTCTCATTAAGGCCCACCATTTGAAGATCTCACTGCCCCTCAACAGCACTCTGAGTTAGGGACCAAAGCATTAGCACATGGGCCGCTGGGGACAGCTTGTCCCAGATATGGTAGTCTAGAAAGATGTACAGTAGTTCTACAGGTTGAAAACATGTGTAACTGTCTGCACATGTCCAATTGTTAGCACATGTGCCCTTTATTTATTATGAATACAACATCCTGCCTCTATGTATGTCTGCAAGCCAGGAGAAGACACCAGATCTCATCACAGATGGTTGTGAGCCATCATGTGGTTGCTGGGAATTGAACTCAGGACCTTGGGAAGAGCAGTCAGTGCTCTTAACCTCTGAGCCATCTCTCTAGCCCCGGCACATGTGCCTTTTAAAAACCTTTACCTCATCTGAAAATGGAGTTCTGAGTCATAGATGAAACAGCAATAATATCAGATTGAAACTGTTTAGGTAAGTTTCAGAGATCATATTTAATTCTTCAGAAGCTATTTATGAGACAGTGAAGATTTCTGAAAAGTTGTACAGATAGTTTTAAAAATAATTTTTCCAAATTATTTCTTAGTTCTATTTTTTTGTCAAATTATTTTAATATCTACCAGAATGCAAAACAGTATTATTTTACCTTGGTTTCTATTTTTTTAGGTATTCTGTTTACATGCTTTTGTGTGACAACTACTACTAAGAGAACAGTAAAGAAATGCTTCCCAGATGATGTAGCCCAGCAAAATTTAATTGTATCAAACACCGAAGGACCAGGAGAGGAAGTGACGGTAAATTAGAATTAAAATCCCAATGAATTCCATGGTGATCCAGTGAACATAATTGATTACTCTGTAGTTATAGCAAAGTGTGACCCTTATTGATCTTTACTTTACCAGAAATTGAAGGGCCATGCATATTTTCTTTCAATATCCATTTATATTGGCCTCAAAGAACTACTGTAATACCCTGAGTGACTCACATAATGAAAACTAGATGTCAGAGATAAGATATTGACAAGATGATGTGTCATCTGAAGTCTCTGTGCAGGGATGTCCTAAGCTCTATTCACTCCTGGTTCCTTGCCTTGTAGTCACATAAAGCAATTTTCATGGTATTATATCCCATTATATGTCTTATAAATCAAATCTCCCTTTTTGTAAGCTCACTGGTTATATTAGATCAGATGCTTATCTAATCTGGTGTGGTTTCCTTGAAACTTCACGTGATTGCATCTGCCCTGACCCTGAAGTGAGGACCTCGATCTATGAATTCTTGGGGGGCAGAGTTTGACCCAGGATGCCCATGATTATTCTAATTTTACATGTGAAGGACATGCACAGTGTGTGACTTTTCTATGGTAGGAAGGAGGTGGCTTCAGTGCCACTGATTCATTTTCTAACTCATTATTTAGGAGGCAAATATTAGACTCCCGACACAGGCATCTAACATCTGTGAAACAAGCACATCTGTTGGGAATCTTGGTGGCCAAGGAATCAAGACACAGCAAAGCTTTGAGATGGTAAAAGGAGGCTATACTTTGGAGTCCAATAAAGGAGGTGGTCATCACACATTGGAGTCCAGCAAGGGAGGCGTTCTGGGAGCAGCAGACACTGGCCGATACACATACACAGACTGGCAAAGTTTCACTCAACCCCGGCTTGGTGAGGTAAGTCCCCAGGTCTTCAGGTATCCACTTTGTGAAATCCCAATATCATTTTTAATTGTCCCAAAGTCTAAACTATCCTCTCATACACCTGAAACACACTTTCCCATCTCTTGTGCCAGCAGAGACACTGGTGTCAGGAGAAAACTCAGAGTGAAATACTCTTTCAAAGTTCAATTTAAAAAAATATGGTTAACAAAACTAGTTCATGTGGATGTCTTTGGGATACTGAAAGACTTATGTCTTCTATACTAAATATTATCAGAAAATATCTGTGAAAAATTAGGTATAACATAATGGACAGGCCATAAATTGCCAGCATTTTGCCCGTGTGCTGGAATTCTACACATGGTTATGTAATTTTGCCTATCTAAATTAATGAGATAGGTCAGTGAGCTTTAATCTTGGGTTCTACTTCAGGGTCCAGAGTATTTTCCTTGTTTGTTTCAGGTTACTCAGGCTAATGTGAGACAAAATAGTGTGTTAAATAATTATAGCTACATAACATGTTGTATATGTTACACATGTTATATATAGCATTTATGTATTAGATTCTTACAACTACTTAATAGGATAAATTCAAGCAAGAATCACAGCCTACATTGGCTTTTGCCATATATGTGAAGAAGCCATTGAGGTAAATTTCAACTAAATACTCCTTTATTCAAGTGGGAAGATGTAAGTTATTTCTGTGATATGTGCATAGCCTTAGTTCTTATAAATGTGTTCATTGTGACCATTTACTTATTTGCTATACTTTAAAATGAATATAATATAGACCAATCATGTGCATTTTTTATATGTAGGAATCCATTAGAGGACACACTCTGATTAAAAATTAAACAGTAAAAGGTAAATCCAAGACTCATTTTTATGCTAGTCTGCTTGGGTGCCTTTTGAAAGCCATAATAAATTGTGCTCTTTCTCCACACAGAAGGTGTATCTGTGCGGACAAGATGAGGAACACAAGCATTGCGAAGACTACGTTCGTTCGTATAACTATGAAGGCAAAGGCTCCATGGCTGGCTCTGTCGGCTGTTGCAGTGATCGGCAGGAGGAGGAAGGGCTGGAGTTTTTAGATCACTTGGAACCAAAATTTAGGACATTAGCAAAGACATGTGTGCAGAAATAAATGTCTGGTTAATAGAGAGACACCTGCAAATGAATATAGAGGCATCACAGGATGTAAAAGGATAGCAGCTTGTACTAGTGAATTTGCTTATTGAAGGTGAAGTCATTTGTAGATAAGGGTGCTTTCCCAATCACAGCTCTCCAAATTCTCCTTGTCTCCTGAACTTCCGTGTTGTCTAGACAGGAAGCTGTCAGTGTTCCTTTTCTTTCAGTGCATGTATACATTGCCCTCTCAGGCCTGGACGGTGTCTGCCACTGAAACTGGTCATTTTTGAAACTTGAGCTTTTGCACACTATGAAAGTCTCCACGGTGCAGTTGGGTATTGTGGAAGCTTAAAACATGAATCTGCTTTGTGTATATACAAATTAAACATTTTCTTCAAATATGGGAGGGGGAGAATTCTGCTTCTAAAATACTTTTTTTCAGGCCAAGATATTGTTTTCTCTCTCCCCGAGTAGCTTCAAATAGATTTTTCAGTATTGCTAGGTGTAGCCTTTCGTGTGTCTAAACAAGCTTGATTCTTGGTACACTTTTCACTCCTCTGAGGAGTGAAGGCTTCACCCAGAAGCCTTCAAAGCTTAGTCCTCGGATCTCTGCCCATGCGGCTGTGTTACCATCAGACTCCTGGAGCTTCTGTTGGAATGACACAGGTCAGAACATTAGGCTCACAGAGATTGGCTATGGATCCATGAAAACACTGGAATCCTGATCTCCATAGGCTGTCTTAGGCTTACAGATATATTTTGCTTGTCCAACATAATGTGGCATTACTTTACATTTACAGATATATACATATATATATGTATACATGTATATATCTGATATATATATATATATATATATATATATATACATATATATATGCTTCTTAACTTGATACTCATTCACTGTTTCAGTGGCTTTCAACTGGTCTTTGTCTTCAAGCCTTTTTCCAAACACCCTTAAAGCTGTAACTGGCACAAGGTTTATCACTTTCCGTGTGTCAACACTGAGTTAATGTCCATACTGGAACTTGATACTCAGTCTACCTTGGTAATTACTCAAAGAAAAGCTGGAAGACCAGAAATAATTTTGGGTAGATATGCATCAAAAATTTTGATTCATTGCAGCAACACTTGCTAAATATTACGGAATTGTGAATTCATAAATATTTTAATGTGAGTAAAAAAAGAAGATACAATATTTTAATGTTTAATCTATAAAGAACTATATATTAAAATGACATTTTATTAGTTGTTTGTGGGAAACTACAGATATGTGTCAAGTTACATCTCATGGAAACTTTACATTTAAACTAAACTGACTTTCTTAATCCATTATTTTCCATCTATTGGCAAAACAGATTTCTGTTTCACCTAGGTTTTGTAACTAGTCCTATTGTCTCAGTCAGAAAAGTTGTTTTTTTATTGTGAAATTGGATACAGGAATAAAATGAAATATGGATTTAATAAGCCAGATTTGATTTTGTAAATTTCCCATAATATATTATTTTTACGGTCATTGTAAGATAATTTGGGGTGGTGATATTATTTTTACTTTTGGAAGTAAATGTCACTACGACAATGTAGAGTTTGACATTTTAGGATCTAATAGTACTAATTTGGAAATGCATGAAATGCCACAGTAAATTATATTCTATAGGATATTCTATGAGCAGTTACAATTATTAGCTTAGCAATAACTTATAAGTGTTGTTTGTCTTAATCTTACTCTTATGCTTACTGAATTATAGATGACAAAATTTATGCCTAAATTAAAGAGCACAATTGATATCCATAGTGGATCTCATTCATCAAGAGAAGGCTCCCCAAGGTTTCAGAAGAGTTATTAGAAAATGTGGAAAATTCAGCCGGGCGTTGGTGGCACACACCTTTTTGAATCCCAGCACTTGGGAGGCAGAGGCAGGCGGATCTCTGTGAATTCGAAGCCAGCCTGGTCTACAGAGTGAGTTCCAGGACAGCCTCCAAAACAATATAGAGAAACCCTGTCTCCAAAAACAAAACAAAAACAACAACAACAACAAAAAGACAATGTGGGAAATTCATCTGTATTAAGAAGTTTTAGCTATTTTAAATATTTTCAAGGCATTATTAAAATTTATCTCAGAGGAATTATATTTATTGTTGAATTTATTTAGGCAACTCCAAGTAATAATGTTTTTGCACCAAAATTTAAATATTGGTTGTATGATGAATTACAACTATGAAACCCTACCAGATTGCAAATTTAGTTTGCTAATAAAGTACTGTATTTCATACAAGTTTTGAGTTAATTGTTGATTTAATAAATGAATAGTTATTAAACGTTTTCTGTATCTCAACATGCAATCCAGTTTTTCTCTTTTTGATTTAGGCTTCAAATATTTCATGAGAAAAAAAATCCCATGGGAGGACCGGGAGAGATCAAATGATGTGGTTCCTTTGAACAAGCTACCCCCAACTCTCCCTAACACACTGAATTTTAATTGTCAGTGTTTAAAATGTTTTGCATCCGATTTGAAATTCATGTGCACATTTGCTTGCGGAAATGTCATTTGAAAAAAGATTGAAACAGATGTTTTAGATGTGAGGCGTTTTACTTTCCCGTTGGTAGTTTGTCGGTTCAAAGTGGCACGTGGAAACCCTAAATGAGAGGACAGCTGCGGAACAGTCCGTTTTAGGGCATTGACCCAGCCTGTTATCTGCGACTCTAGCAAGTCTATGGCAGCGGCGTACGCGATCAGACGCTGCCTTTGTCTTTCTACGTGGGGAAGAATGGCGAAAGTACAGGAGAAAGCTTTCTAAGAATGAATAGACTCACACAATGTGTAGGGCCCAATCAAATAAGCAAATATATAAAGTAAACACCCTCTGGAATAGGTGTTATCTGCATAAAAGATAAAAGCTATGCTATATTAACCAATAGCAATAGCCATTATATGTGAATGCGTGTCTGAGGATCGGTATGAGAACCCCCTGACATGGCCCTTGGGTTTCTGGTGTACTCATAATACATGTTGTGTAAAGATAAATTGTTTAAGGTATTACTAACGATATTAATGAATGGGAATAAGGTACCTTTTGATAAACAATCTACAGAGTCACAAGTCATTCCCTGACTTTAGGGGCGGGGAAGCAAAAGCAGGCATGCCCTTCCTTTGGTCAACAACGGGCCTGCGAATAAGAATACATAGTATTTGAAATTTGTCTTTAGTCGTCAATATGCAACAGTGAATACCTGGCACTGCGGGATTTCGTTTCTGATATTTAGGAACTTTAAACTATGTAACATGACATTATGAATTCAAAATTAAAATTTAAGGCTACAGTTGAACTATGAAAGGTTTTACCTAGGGTTCATAACTGGAATTCACATAGTCACTTTCTCCCTGTTGAAGTTCAGGAAAAGTGAACAAGGCTTCACTCCAAGTGTGATTCAGGGGTGGATTTCTGTTTCCCACGTGTGGGCAGCTGGGTTTGATACCCAGGGCTCCAATGCAGAAGAAAAACCAGAGCAGAAAGGCTTTTCTTTCTTTGACTTTGCTTGCCATAATGTGTGTAGCAAGTGAGGAATTACAGACTGGAGAATGGTTACATAGCTCCAAGTTTCCCTTGGAAGGTAAGAGACATTCCACACGTGGCTGCTATCCTACAACAGTCGTGGAAGTGCTCTGTGTGTCATCATGGCTCTCATTGCTCATCTGGAAGACCAGCACCTAAGGCATTACCTGCAAAACTCTCAGGAACTCAACATTCTTGAGTTCTGAAGCTCCTACACTGGAGACTGTGAACTGGACGCAGCCCTCAGGTTTCTGAAGTAGTCCACCTTAAGTACCTTGCCCTTAGGCTCTCCTTCATCTCAGTGCTCGCTCTTTGACTCTCAGTGTCCTGTGGAACCAGAAACATGGCCATTGTCTAACAGTCTGCCAGGACAGGGGCGTCTCACACACCACTTCAGCCTCACTGAATTGGAATCTGCATTTTAGGAAGAGGGCCAGGAAATGTGCACACGCAGGAAACTTTGAAAAGCACCATGGAAACGATGAGGTGAGAGGAAACACAGAATCCACTAGTGAGTGAGCGAAACCTTTAGCACATTAGAATGAACAGGGCAGGTCCGGAGAGCAGCAGGCCCAAGACAGTTATCTTTGCTGAGTGGGTGATGCACATTCAAAACTTCTGTCAGCACTTGAGAAGTATCAACCCCTCCCCTGTTTGTTGACAACTGACTTTTTGAAGACTTGGTATCTCAACAAGACCATATAGTGTAAGAGACACGGGACATACAATGTACTCAAATGTTAATAAGGGGCATTTTCACTGCCACGTAATAAGTTGGCTTTTCCCAACCCAAATTAAGGAAATAACATTTAACAAAATTTCTCAAGTTTTGATAAGTCCTACCAAAAATATTTTTACAATTTTAGCTAATCACAAAGTTGAATACCCCCAGTGACTGACACAACACCTAGGGTTACTTTGACGAGTAGGTATCTTGCTGCAGTCTCTCTCTGTCTCTCTGTCTCTGTCTCTGTTTCTGTCTCTGTTTCTGTCTCTCTGTCTCTCTGTCTCTTGTCTCTCTGTCTCTCTCTCTCTGTACAGTTTGTCATTGGCATGCTCTTAAAGCCTTATTTTGTTGGGTGTGGCTGATACATAACAGTACAGGTGTGATTAAGACAGTGTCAAAAACAGTGTTTTGTGTCAAGTAATCACATTCTGTCAAGGTTGCTCTTATTATTATTAATTTTCTTTAGGTCTGGGAAACCATGCAGAAAAATACCAAGGCAAACAAGCTCTAGGAAGATGACTCAGTTGGGAAAAGTACCTGTGGTGCAAGCTTGAAAACCCAAGTTCAAATCCCCAGGCTCCATGTAAAAGTGGGACTCCTACACTCCTATTGCATAGATGAAGGGTAAAGCAAGGACAACTCACACAAAACAACATGAGACCTGTCTTATACAAGGTAGAAAGTGAGTGATGAAACCTGAGGTTGTTGTCTGACCTCCACTTGGGAGTGCCTGCATTTATACATACTAATGTGCACACACACTGACACATATGCAGTCATACATATACATACTCACACACACTCATACTCACAGTATACACATATTCTCACACACATTCCTACACACACACTACACATACTCAGATCATATGGACATTCACTCATACACATACACATACACTCACATATACATTTACACACATGCACTCTCACACACATGCTCAAATACCACACATACTCACTTATACACATACTTATATACAGACATGTTTTTAATAGTTAATTTCAAAATTTTTGGAGCAGTGATAACTCATTGGGTTGAGGGGCTTCTTTTCAAGTCTCAGAACTAAATTCACTCCCTGGGGCCCACTGGTAGAAGTAAAGAATGATTCCTGCCAGTTTTCCTATGACCTCCACACATGGTGCTTTGGTATGCTCACATACATATGAAAAAGTAGGAGTCTGATACAATGTGAATAAAATTAATACTGCTTAAAATGTTATGTATAAAACATAAGCATACTATTTAATATAAATAATAATTATTAAAATATGATGCAATTATTAATATTAAATGTTAAATCGAGTTTTGTGTTTTGGTACATTATATTCAAAGTTGAACATTAAGAAGATACTAGCCACTGGTGTCATATGTCTGCTGCTATTCATGGTGATTGAGGCAGAGAATGCAGGGTATTGAGCATCTATTTCTAATTTTATTGAGTGTCTAGCTAAGACACCATTATTTACCAGTCTCCTAAACCAAATGCAATATTGTCTTAAATTATGACCATTGAGGAGTGAAAATATTATGCATGAGGCTTCTGGGTAGGAGTCTAAAGAGAATTAATTCCCCCGAAAGAAGCATTTTTTCTACCCTCCTTATTTAATATGTGCTAAAATGCCTGGTACTCAGGAAGCTGTTTGGTGAGCATCAGAACAAAGACTAGGTGCTGAGAGTGGCAGAATTAAGTCCTGAGAAAGACGAAACAAAGAACAGTGGCATGAGCTTTCAGTCCCAGCAGTCTGGAGGCAGGACGATCTTTAGTTAGAGATGAGCCTGTGCTGCAGAAGGAGAACGTATTTTAAATAAATAATTAAATAATAGAAGGAAGATAGACAAATAGAAGGATGGATAAATAGACAATAGAGATAAAAGATAGATGATAGGTAGGTAGATGACGATAGATGATAGACAGGTGAGGGGTAGCTAGATAAATAGATGGATAGATGGATGGATGGATGGTTAGATAGATACATAGATAGATAGATAGATAGATAGATAGATAGATAGATAGATAGAAATAAAAGCTCCCTTGGTAGCTTGTGGCACCTTGGTCATACTGTTAAGTATGTTAGACTGTTTTTTTTTTATTGTTTCTATTTCAAATTTCAGCCCTTGCACTGTTTGAATTGTTTCTTGCAAATTTTTGTTTTATCTTTTGCTCCATTTCTTGCATTTTTTGGATTGTTTTTTCTTCCATCTCTTTAAGGGATTTTCTCATATCCTCTTTGAGGGCCTCTATCATTTCCATGAAGTTGTTTTTTTATGTCATTCTCTTCTGGTTCATTTGTGTTGCGGTGTTCCAGTCTTGTTGGTGTAGTGTCTCTGGACTGTGACGGTGTCATATTGGTTTTTCTATTGCTCCTTGTGTTTTTATGTTGTCTCCTTCCCATCTATTCCTGAAGTGGAGAGGGTGCCTCTTCCTCTACGGATGGGTGTGGGACCAGGGTTCCCTTCTATTGGGTGTCGGCAAGTCCACTGTTCTGGTAGCTCTCCACTTCCTGGTCTTGTGGGTGGAAAAATGGACTAGAATGCTAGGGTGCATTGTATCCCACTGGGATGGATGAGAGCCCCAGTGGTATACCCCCGGCACAGGAGTGGTATACCCCAGGTACAGGAGTGTGGTCTAGAGACAGGCCATGATAGTCTTTGTCATGTGCGTGGAGCAGGAGACTAGGATGCTAGGGTGAGTTTTCTCTTACCTTTGGGATGGAAGCCGCTGGGGCAGTCCCTGAGCACCAGCAGCTGGTTTAGTCCTAGTTCCGTGGGTGGAGCAGGAAACTATGGTACCTTGGCTCCTTCCACCTCTGACAGGATGGAAGCCTCAGTGGCAGAGCCCAGGTCCAGGCAGGCGGTCCAGAAATGGGCCCTGGTTTACCTGGACCCGTGGGTGGGGCAGAAGACTAGGGAGCATTGGCTCCTGCCCTTGGTATGGAAGATGCAGTGGTAGACCCCAAAAGCACAGGCAGCCAGTCTAGTCCTAGTTTCAT